AAGAAAGAAAAGAAAAGAAGAAGAAGAAGAAGAAGAAGAAGAAGAAGAAGAAGAAGAAGAAGAAGAAGAAGAAGAAGAAATATACATATACACTGTGCAATGAGGAAACAGAACGATTTGACATATGCATTATCTCACATATAATCATTTTGATGGTGAAAACATTTAGATTGTATGTTGTGGATCTGTGGAGCTAGCTTAGCTGTCTAAGCTCCTGCCTAGGCAAGCGCAAGGACCCTGGTTCGATCCCCAGTACCAAATGTCATGCCAACCACACCCTGGATGTGCTGAGCTGGCCTCCGAGACCAGGTGTGGTGGCACACCCCTGTAATCTCAGTGCTGGGCAGGTTGAGAATCACTATGAATCTGAGCTGTATAGTGAGACTCTGTATCAACTACATAACATTTTTTAAAATTTTTAAAAATAAAATATATACTGTAACCTAGGAGTGCAGCTCAATTGTTGAACTCAGACCCTTGTGCGTACCAGGCAAGCACTTATTCTACTGAGCCATCTTCCCAGCCCCCTCAGTTGTTGAATAGTTGCCGATCACTGTGTATTACCCTGGTTTGATCCCCAGCACCACAAAATAAAGTAAAATTTATGCTCTGAGCAATTTACAAGAATACAGATCACCATTAACTATAATTGTCAGCTGTATAATGGGCCACTTGGTTTGAATAATGTTTTTTAAATAAAGTGTTGTGCAAAAAGGTGAATGGAACTCTCAGAAAAATCCTTCGAAGAGTTTTTCACTGAACAGACTCCCAGTTTTGTTGTTTCATTTAAAAGCTATTAGCAAATTTTTTTTGTTTGTTTAGTGTGTGTAGCCAGCTCAGCCCACCAGGGGGCGGGGTTGGCTGGCATGTGGTGCTGGGGGATTGAACCGTGGTCCCTGTTCTTTGCTTAAGCTTAGCTTGTTCTAAGTAGGTGCTTTAGACCACTGAGCCATCTCACCAGCCCCTATTAGCAAATTTTAAAAAAGAAATAAAATCTGTTAGATCAGAAGAACACAATGCCCACCTCTGCAATCTCAACAACTCAGGAGACTGAGACTAAAGAATTAAAAGTTCAAGTACAGTTTAAGTAACTTAGCAAGACCCTGTCTCAAAATACAAATATAAAAAAAGATGGGAGATATTGCTCAGTAGTAGAGAACTGGCCTACTGTGAGTGAGGTCCTGGGTTCAAGCCTCAGATCAGAAAA